ATTATAAATATATATGCACCCAACATAGGACCACCGCAATATGTAAGGCAAATGCTAACAAGTATGAAAGGGGAAATTATCAGTAACACAATAATAGTGGGAGACTTTAATACCCCACTCACACCTATGGCTAGATCAATTAAACAAAATTAACAAAGAAACACAAACTTTAAATGATACAATGGACCAATTAGACCTAACTGATATCTATAGGACATTTCACCCCAAAACAAGGAATTTCACTTTTTTCTCAAGTGTACAGGGAACCTTCTCCAGGATAGATCACATCCTGGCCATAAGACCAACCTTGGTAAATTCAAAAAAACTGAAATCATTCCAAGCATCTTTTCTGACCACAATGTAGTAAGATTACATGTCAACTACAGGAGAAAAGCTTTTAAAAATTCCAATATATGGAGGCTGAACAACACGCTGCTGAATAACCAACAAATCACAGAAGAAACCAAAAAAGAAATCAAAATATGCATAGAAACGAATGAAAATGAAAACATAACAACCCCAAACCTATGGGACACTGAAAAAGCAGTGCTTAGGGGAAGGTTCATAGCAATACAGGTTTACCTCAAGAAACAAGAAAAAAGTCAAATAAATAACCTAACTCTCCACCTAAAGCAACTAGAAAAGGAAGAAATGAAGAACCCCAGGGTTAGTAGAAGGAAAGGAATCTTAAAAATTAGGGCAGAAATAAATGCAAAAGAAACAAAAGAGACCACAGCAAAAATCAACAAAGCTAAAAGCTGGTTCTTTGCAAAGATAAATAAAATTGACAAACCATTACCCAGACTCATCAAGAAACAAAGGGAGAAGAATCAAATCAACAAAATTAGAAATGAAAATGGAGAAATCACAACAGACAAAACAGAAATACAAAGGATCATAAGAGACTACTATCAGCAACTATATGCCAATAAAATGGACAACTTGGAAGGAACGCACAAATTCTTAGAAAAGTATAACTTTCCAAAACTGAACCAGGAAGAAATAGAACATCTTAACAGACCAATGACAAGCACGGAAAACAAAACTATAATTAGAAATCTTCCAGCAAACAAAAACCCAGGACCAGACGGCTTTACAGCTGAATTCTACCAAAAATTTAGAGAGGAGCTAACACCTATCCTACTCAAACTCTTCTAGAAAATTGCAGAGGAAGGTAAACTGCCAAACTCATTCTATGAGGCCACCATCACCCTAATACCAAAGCCCGACAAAGATGCCACAGAAAAAGAAAACTACAGGCCAATATCACTGATGAACATAGATGCAAAAATCCTTAATAAAATTCTAGCAACCAGAATCCAACAACATATGAAAAAGATCATAAATCATGACCAAGTGGGCTTTATCCCAGGGATGCAAGGATTCTCCAATATCCAGAAATCAATCAATGTAATACACCACATTAACAAATTGAAAGATAAAAAACATGATTATCTCAATAGATGCAGAGAAAGCCTTTCACAAAATTCAACATTCATTTATGATAAAACCCTCCAGAAAGAAGGACTAGAAGGAACATACCTCAACATAATAAAAGCTATATATGACAAACCCACAGCAAACATTATCCTCAATGGTGAAAAACTGAAAGCATTTCCCCTAAAGTCAGGAACAAGACAAGGGTGCGCACTCTCACCACTATTATTCAACATAGTTTTGGAAGTTTTGGCCACAGCAATCAGAGCAGAAAAAGAAATAAAAGGAATCCAGACGGGAAAAGAAGTAAAACTCTCAATGTTTGCAGATGACATGATCCTCTACATAGAAAACCCTAAAGACTCTACCAGAAAATCACTAGAGCTAATGAATGAATATAGAAAAGCTGCAGGATATAAAATTAACACACAGAAATCCTTTACATTCCTATACACTGAGAAAACAGAAAGAGAAATTGAGGAAACAATTCCATTCACCATTGCAATGAAAAGAATAAAATACTTAGGAATATATCTACCTAAAAAACAAAGGACCTATATACAGAAAACTATAAAACACTGATGAAAGAAATCAAAGATGACACAAATAGATGGAGAAATATACTGTGTTCATGGATTGGAAGAATCAATATAGTGAAAGTGAGTATAATACCCAAAGCAATCTACAGATTTAATGCAATCCCTATCAAGCTACCAATGGTATTTTTCAGAGAATTAGATCAAATAATTTCACAATTTGTATAGAAATACAAAAAACCTCGAATAGCCAAAGCAATCTCGAGAAAGAAGAATGGAACTGGAGGAATCAACCTGCCTGACTTCAGACTATACTACAAAGCCACAGTCATCAAGACAGTATGGTACTGGCACAAAGACAGAAATACAGAAATACAGATCAATGGAAGAAAATAGAAAGCCCAGAGATAAATCCACGCACCTATGGACACCTTATCTTTGACAAAGGAGGCAAGAATGTACAATGGACAAAGACAATCTCTTTAACAAGTGGTGCTGGGAAAACTGGTCAACCACCTGTAAAATAATGAAACTATAATACTTTCTAACACCATACACAGAAACAAATTCAAAATGGATTAAAGATCTAAATATAAGACCAGAAACTATAAAAGTCTTAGAGGAAAACATAGGCAAAACACTCTCTGACATAAAACAGAGCAGGATCCTCTATGACCCACCTCCAAGAGTAATGGAAATAAAAGCAAAAATAAACAAATGGGACCTAATTAAACTTAAAAGCTTTTGCACAATGAAGGAAACTATGAGCAAGGTGAAAAGACAGCCTTCAGAATGGGAGACAATAATAGCAAACAAACCAACTGACAAAGAATTAATCTCAAAAATATACAAGCAACTCCTGCAACTCAATTCCAGAAAAATAAGCGACCCAATAAAAAGTGGGCCAAAGAACTAAACAGACATTTCTCCAGAGAAGACATACATATGGCTAACAAACACATGAAAAGATGCTCAACATCACTCATCATCAGAGAAATGCAAATCAAAACCACAATGAGGTACCATTACACGCCATCAGGATGGCCGCTATCCAAAAGTCTACAAACAATAAATGCTGGAGAGGGTGTGGAGAAAAGGGAACCCTCTTACACTGTGGGTGGGAATGCAAACTAGTACAGCCACTATGGAATACAGTGTGAAGATTTCTTAAAAACTGGACATAGAACTGCCATATGACCCAGCAATCCCCCTTCTGGGCATACACACCGAGGAAACCAGAATTGAAAGAGACATGTGTACCCGAATGTTCATTGCAGCACTGTTTATAATAGCCAGGTCATGGAAGCAACATAGATGTCCATCAGCAGACGAATGGATAAGAAAGCTATGGTGCATATACACAATGGAATATCAATCAGCCATTAAAAAGAATACATTTGAATCAGTTCTAATGAGTTGGATGAAACTGGAGCCTATTATACAGAGTGAAGTAAGCCAGAAAGAAAAACACCAATACAGTATACTAACGCATATATACGGAATTTAGAAAGATGGTAATGATAACCTTATATGCCAGACAGCAAAAGAGACACAGATATATAGAACAGTCTTTTGGACTCTGTGGGAGAAGGCGAGGGTGGGATGATTTGAGAGAACAGCACTGAAACATGTATATTATCATATGTGAAACAGACTGCCAGTGCAGGTTCAATGCATTAGACAGGGTGCTCAGGGCTGGTGCACTGGGATGACTCAGAGGGATGGGATGGGGAGGGAGGTGGGAGGGGGTGTTCAGGATGGGGAACACATGTACACCCATGGCTGATTCATGTCAATGTATGGCGAAAACCACCACAATATTGTAAAGTAATTAGCCTCCAATTAAAATAAATAAATTTTTAAAAAAACCTCAACATTCAGAAAGCTAAGATCATGGCATCTGGTCCCATCACTTCATGGCAAACAGATGGGGAAACAGTGGCTGACTTTATTTTCTTGGGCTCCAAAATCACTGCAGATGGTGACTGCAGCCATGAAATTAAAAGATGCTTGCTCCTTGGAAGAAAAGTTATGACCAAACTAGACAGCATATTAAAATCCAGAGACATTACTTTGCCAACAAAGGTCCATGTAGTCAAAACTATGGTTTTTACAGTAGTCATGCATGGATGGGAAAGTTGAACTCTAAAGAAAGCTGAGAGCCGAAAAACTGATGCTTTTGAACTGTGGTGTTGGAGAAGACTCTTGAGAGTCCCTTGAACTGCAAGGAGATCCAACCAGTCCATCCTAAAGGAGATGAGTCCTGGGTGTTCACTGGAAGGATTGATGATGAAGCTGAAACTCCACTACTTGGGATACCTGATGCGAAGAACTGACTCAGTGGAATAGACCCTGATGCTGGGAAATATAGAATGCAGGAGGAGAAGGGGATGACAGAGGATGAGATGGTTGGATGGCATCACCAACTCAATGGACATGAGTTGAATAAACTCCAGGAGTTGGAGATGGACAGGGAGGCCTGGTATCCTGCAGTCCATGGGGTCACAAAGAGTCGGACACAACTGAGGGACTGAACTAAACTGAATAAGTATCTAAAAATTCTTCACAAACAAATGGATATAGATAACATATCTGTACATTTTCCCCCAAGATACTAATATAGAGCATTTTATATGACCCCATTTGATTATGGGTACATAGCATAAATCTAAAGCTTGTTTTATTACAATTATGTTAAATTTAGCACTATTTACACAGAACTAACTCATTGGAAAAGACCCTGATGCTGGGAAAGACTGAGGGCAGGAGAAGGGGACGACAGAGGATGAGATGGTTGGATGGCATCATCGACTCACTGGACATGGGTTTGGGTGGACTCCAGGGGTTGGTGATGGACAAGGAGGCTTGGTGTGCTGCAGTTCATGGGATCGCAAGGAGTCGGACATGACTGAGCAACTGAACTGAACTGAACTGAAACCAAAGTTAGGTTTGACTAAGTTGACTTTTGGTTGACTTTACCATGAAATGTGGCAATTTGTGAAGTAAAAAGTATAAAGTTATACTTACGCTAGTTACTTTACGGTATATTTGAGCTGCATTCTGGCATTCAGAATAAGGGTACTCTGAAGTAGCCATTTCCAGCATACACATTCCAAAAGCATAGACATCCACAGATTCATCATAATGCTCTTCATACATCTCTGGGGCCATAAACTCAGGAGTACCTACAAAATACCACAACCACATATTTTTAAGAAAGAAAAATGTAGAGAATTCCCTGGCAGTCCAGTTGTTAGGACTCTGTGCTCTCACTGCCTAGGGCCCAGGTTCAATCTCTTGTCAGGGAACTAAGATTCCCCCAAGTGATGTACTGCAGACAAAAAAAAAAATGTATGCCAAGATCACATTCCCTTTGCCATAAGGATTACTTGAGATAATTTCTGTTCCCTAAAAGCAAACATATGTGTGTGTGTGTGTGTATAATATATACATACATACCCTCACACACACACACACATATATAATGTCCTTAATTTCCTTAATTTTCCATACTGATAAAGGACAGTTTGCAATGCTCATATGTAATGATCACCAAAATCTGTTTTTTTTTCTATCCTTCGTTTAAGTTATTTAAAATTTTTGAAGTAGTAAATCCCCTTTATAAGTCCTCAGAACTTTTCAATAACATTAAATACATCACAAAAGAAATACACTAGGATGTCACTGAAATCAGTCAATATAGAATAGATATTTCAAAGTAAACTCACATTCTAGGCCAGGGGCCAGTAAACTTCTCTATAAAGGGTCAAACAGTAAATATTTCAGACTTTGCAGTCCATATGGGCTCTGTCACAACTAATTAACTCTGACACTGTAGTACAAAAGCAGCCATACACAATATGTAAATCAGTGGGTGTTGCTGTGTTCCAACAAAACTTTTTTTTACAAAAATAGACAGGAAAGTTCAAGTTGGCCCACAGGCTATGGTTTGCTGATTCCTGTTCTAGAAATATACAGTTTAAAAAAATCTTCCTTTACACAATCAATAAACTATAAAACGTTAATCACCAATGACACTTTTAGCAAATGATGTACGCATTAAGGTGGCTAGTCCTAGATCACCAATCTTCACAGATCCCGTGGGTCCCGTGATGAAAATATTGTCACACTTCAGATCCCGATGAATAATAGGAGGAGTCCTAGTGTGCAAGAACTGCAACCCCTTTAAAATCTGCCTGCACCAGCTCCTTAAGACCTTTGGTTTCATTACTTTAAATCGTTTTAAGTACCTACACAAAGAAACAAAAGATCACATGTAAACAAACATACCTAGCTTATTGTATAAGTACATTAGGGTAAATCACATAAACGAGCCAATATAGTATGTATTAGGATTGCCATCACTGAGTTATTTTTTTATTGTCTAACAAAATATTTTTAAATATAAAGCTTCAAAGTACACCTCCCCTACAGAAAAAGTACATACCACATGTAACAGTCACAAATCAGTGGCTGTACCATCAGATGAAATGCTCTAGTCAGAAACAATAGACTATAATTATATAGTATCAATCACTAGGTATTTGAACCTGCCACATCCCCAATCTTTCATCCTCTACAAAATGACATTATCTCTATAATTATTTCTAGTTCTAAAGTTCAATGATATGCCACAAACATTAATTTTTCAACACTGTGTTCTCTAACAAACTTCATTAACACCCTAATTTTTTAACCTGCCCTGAAACACAGTCACTAGATTCAGAATCTACCAATTCTTTAACCATGTAGTGTTTCTTTGCAAACAACTTTTGTGACTCTTGAAAATTATTTCCAAATAAATCTCCATTGACACTATCAGGGTCAACTTACGTCTTTAAGGTTCCTGATGTCATAAGTTCCGTCACTAATACAATACATTTCTTTCCTTTTAATATAGACTCCCAGGAATCATAAAATCGAACTATATTGGGATGTTGGAGACCCTTTAACATCTCTGCTTCTTCCTTGAACCTTTGCTGCTCGGCTTTGGTTAATTTCCGGTCCTAAAATGGAAGATCAAGTTCCAAATTAAAGTCTAGAAATTGTCTTGCACATTTATAATACCACTCAAATGAGTATTTTATTTATGCATATATATATGTATCTATTTTTTACCTGTCAATCCTTTTTTCAGTACCTATAAAATCACTGATATTCTTTGTTAGGTACTTGCTCTGACTCCTCTCATAGAGCAAAATGCAGCAGTTGTTTGTTGTATTTGTTGTTGTTGCTTAGTTGCTAAGTCATGTCCAACTCTTTGTGACCCCATGGACTGCAGCCTGCCAAGCTCCTCTACCCATGGGATTTCCCAGGCAAGAATACTGGAATGAGTTGTCATTTCCTTCTCCAGAGGATCTTCCTGACCCAGTAATCAAACTCACATCTCCTGCACTGCAGGTGAATTCTTTACCACTGAGTCACCAGGGAAGCCCTGTTTGTTGTATACTTTAAACTGATACATTGTTATATGTCAATTATATTACAACAAAATTGGAAAAATAAATAATAAAATTTCCTTTGCTGGAAAAGAAAAATAGTATCGCAAAATAAAAAATCAAAACCAGTCCAGTCTGGTTCCAAAGTGGGAAAAGAGTATGTCAAGGCTGTATATTGTCACCCTGCTTATTTAACTTATATGCAGAGTACATCATGAGAAACACTGGGCTGGATGAAGAACAAGCTGGAATCAAGATTGCTGGGAGAAATATCAATAACCTCAGCTATACAGATGATACCACTCTAATGGCAAAAAAAAAAAAGAGAGAGAGAGAGAAACTAAAGAACCTCTTGACGAAGGTGAAAGAGCAGAGCTTAAAGCTCAACATTCAAAAAACTAAGATCATAGCATCCAGTCACATCACTTCATGGCAAATAGATGGGGAAACAATGAAAACAGTGACAGACTTAATTTTCTTGGTCTCCAAAATCACTGCGGACAGTGACTGCAGCCAAGAAATTAAGACACTTGATCCTTGGAAGGAAAGCTAAGACAAACCTAGACAGCGTATTAAAAAGCAGAGATATCACTTTGCCAACAAAGGTCCGCATAGTCAAAGCTATGGTGTTTCCAGTAGTTAGGTACAGATGTGAGAGCTGGACCATAAAGAAAGCCAAGTGCCGAAGAATTGATGATTCTGGATTGTAGTGCTGGAGAAGACTCTTGAGACTCCCTTGGACAGCAAGGAGATCAAACCAGTCAATCCTAAAGGAAATCAACCCCGAATACTCATTGAAGGACTGATACTGAAGCTGAAGCTCCAATACTTTGGCCATCTGATGCAAAGAGAAGACTCATCGGAAAAGATCCTGATGCTGGGAAAGATTGAGGGCAGGAGGAGAAGGCATCAAAGCATGAGATGTTGGGATGGCATCACTGACTCAATGGACATGAGTTTGAGCAAACTCCTGGAGGTAGTGAAGGACACGGAAGCCTGGCATGCTGCAGTCCATGGGACCACAAAGAGTTGGACATGACTTAGCAACTAAACAACAATAATCAAAACAGATAATAAAAAACTTTCCCCTAAGAAATCTCCAAATTTCCACATCTAAGGATCTATAATGTCAGGGAAGGAATAACAGAATGTTAGACACCTAGATATTTATTCTGGTTCAATATCTGAATTGGCAACATATTTCCAGACAGAAGTATAAGGTTACCAACCAGTAAAAGACATTCAAACAGGCGTTGGACCTGTTATTTGCCACATTAAATACCAGAAGGCAAACGAGCAATATTTATAGTATTCTGAGGGAAGACAGTGACTCTCAAATTCTGAACACAGACAAGCTATCAATCAAGTTTACAAGGGAAAAATACACACATTTCCATGAAAACAAGGACATAAGAAGTATACCACATCATTTACCAATCCTGAAAATAGTACTCAAAGAATTAAATGTGGCCAAATAATATCATTAGAAAAAGAAGGTGTGGCATGTAATAAATAGTAAGAAACTTTCAATAATGCTTTTTAAAAAAGAAGCTTAAGTAACTGTGGCTAATATGGTTGGCAATATTTTCTAAACAGTAATTAAAACTGAAGATATATACAGCTGACCTTTGAACAATACAAATTTGAACTGCATGGATCCACTTATACCTGGATTTTTTTTCAATAATATTACAGCGCTACATGATACACTGTTTGTTGAATCCTTGGATGTGGAACTGCAGATATGGAGAGTCAACTAAAAAGTTATCATGAATTTTCAACTGCTTAGGGCCGGCACCCCTCACCCACACATTGTTCAAAGGCCAACTGTAATGCAAAATGATAAATCTGGAATTACTTCATTAAAATCTAATAGAGAAGGAAAAATAAAAACAATTTCTGTCTTCTGCAAGGGAGAGGAGTGAAAGGAGTGACAGAACTATTTTAAGTTTTGATGTCAATAGATAATCAAATTATGTTAGTTAAAAATTTAGGTATGATTTCCATTTCAAGACGGTTGACAACATATTAATTCCCATCCCTTCTTACACCCCACCAAAATGACAAAAGAAATATATAAATAAATCCACAGTAGTACTTTACATGTGAGATGGGTTCAAACAAAAGATTTTTTAAAGATAAAAAAATATACCCTGATAGAATGCAGTTTTATGAAACTCATGAGAGTATAAGAAATGGCAAGTTGATAAAAGACTTCTGTTAAAAAAGGTTTTTTAAAGACTTCATAGTAACCCTAGGTAAGCAGCACAAACACAGCTCTGGCAATTTCATTTTTGGTTACTTTATTCATATTATTCCTTGATGTGAAAATATGTAAAAGGAGAGTCAGTTGCAGCATGGTTTGTAATTGTGAAAAATTAGAAATAATCACAATGTCAATAACAAAGTTTACTATATGCCAAGCACTGTCCTAAATTTTTTTGTATATTAATTAACTTTTAGTCCCTACAACAACCCTTTGTGATAGTCACTAATACTGTTATTACTGTTTTGCAAATAAAGAAACTGAGGTTAAGATGGTTAAGTAATTTGTCCAGGATCAACTGGGTTATATAGAATGCTAAACTTGGCTATAAACAAATTTAACAGTTAAACGAATAAGCTAGATCTATGCATAGTAATGTGGATAGATCTCTTAAGGCCTATGGTTGAGTGAAAATAAAAAATCTGAAAGAAATTTATAACACCTTGTACATAAAAGAAGGGGTTTTCCTGGTGGCTCAGGGTTAAAAATTCCACCTGCCACTAAAACTAGTCTTATGTTTTACTTTTTAGGTCTATGAAGTTGAAGTGAAGTTGCTCAGTTGTGTCCGACTCTGCGATCCCATGGACTGTAGTCTACCAGGTTGCTCCATCCATGGAATTTTCTAGGCAAGAGTACTGGAGTGGGTTGCCATTTTCTTCTCCAGGGGATCTTCCTGACCCAGGGATCAAATCCAGGTCTCCCAAATTGCAGGCAGACGCTTTACCCTCTGAGCCATGAGGGAAGCCCCTTTTAAGTCTATAATTTGAGTTATTTAGGGCTATAATTTGAGTTAAAATTTTACGATGTGTGAGGGTTAGGTCAAGGTTCATTTTTTTGAATATGTATGTCCAGCACCTTTTGTTGAAAAAATCATCCTTTCTATGCTGAATCACTACTGCACCATTATTCTTTCTAAAATCACTTGACCACATCTGTTTCAGTCTATTTCTGAACTCTATTCTGTTCCACTGATCTATCTGTATGTCTACCTTTTTGCCAATATCATACATGTATCATTACTACACCTTTAGAGTAAGTCTGATCAGTTAACATGAATTATTCAAACTCGTTCTTTATCAAAACTGTTTTAGCTATTCTATTATCCTTGCCTTTGTATATTAGGTTTTTTTAAATTTTTATTATTTTTATTTTTGGCTGTACTGGGTCTTTATTGCTGTGTGCAGGCTTTCTCTAGTTGTGGCATGTGGGGGCTGCTACTCTCTAGTTGTGTGCAGGTTTCTCATTGTGATGACTTCTCTTCTTGTAGAGCATGGGCTCTAGAACGCAAGTGCTTCAGTAGTTGCAGCATGCAGGCTCAGTAGTTGTGGCACACAGGCTTAGTTGCCCCAAACACATGGGATCTTCCCAGTCCAGGGATCAAACCCATGTCCTCTGCATTGGCAGGTAGATTCTTAACCACTGGACCACCAAGGAAGTCCCCCATATTAGTTTTAGAATCAGTCTGTCAACATGTAAAAAAATTCCTGCTGGGATTTTGCTAAAATTGTTTTGAATTTCTAGGTCATATGGAGAGAATGAACATCTTAAGAACAATGAGTCTTCCAACCAACCCATTTATTTAGATCTTTGATTTCTTTTAACAGTGTTTTTTAGTTTTCAGCATACAGATTCTACATATACTTTGTTATTTATACCTATGTATTTCATTTGGGGTGCTACTGTAAATAGTACTTTTTAAAAACTGCAATTTCCAATTATTTATTGCTACTGTAGAAAGATAATAACTGTTTTTATATTAACCTTGTATCTGGCAACCTTGTTAAAATCACTTATTAGTTTCAAGTACTTTTTTTAGATTCACTGAGATTTTTCATGTAGATTATCATGACATCTTCAGGTAAAGACAGTTTTATTTCTTCCTTTCTTCTGCATTCCTTCTATTTCTTTTCATCCCCTATTTCACTAGCTAGCACTTCCAGAACAATGATGTTGAGAGCATCATATCAGAAGTGTTGAGAGAAGACATCCTTCCCTTGTTAGAGGAAAAGCAGTCTTTTCACCATTAAGTATAATGCCAGTTGTTTTAAGCCATTCTAATAGCTGCATTTTTTAAATAGATGTCCTTTATCACATTGAGGTTAGCTTTTATATCAAATTTGCTGAGTTCATCATGAATGGATATTGAATTTCTTCAAATGCTTGTCCTGCAACTATTGAAATGACCATGTTGATTCCTCTACAGGCTATTAATATGTCAAATTACATTGAGTTTCAAATGTCGAACAATCCTTGCATCCCTTGGAAAACCCCACACAAGTCATCATGTATTACTCTTTTAATA